ATTTGAATTTTCCCCATATTGGAGCTATTCGTTCATATTGTACTCCGAGAGATGCTCTTCTTCAGTTCCTACATCTCTGGGTGATGGGTCAAGGAGCACACATTGACCGACAATTGGTCCGACATATTGTTGACCGTTTCATCTGAAAATAACTGTAGTGAGCTAGTAAAAAGGGCTGGATTGCAGTGTGGTCACTAGCCTGACCGATACAACTGCTTATCTTGTTTGTGAAGCGTATTATCAATTCGAGCATGAGCACCATCATCCATCCGTCATGATGTAAATGTATCCATTACATACTTCTTACACCCTTGAGAAAAGTACACTGATTGGAACATTGGCTGGCTTTTAAGGCACAGATTTCTTTTTTACATAGGCTGCTTCCGTTTGGGTAGATTCCAAGCGCATGATGTTTTCTTAAAGTCTGGCATCAATACAGGACAATTGATGAACGCTGCTGTTTTTCGACCTTGAGAAATCGGAGGGAGATCAGAACCGGAAACTTTGAAACTCGCAGTTTACTCCTACTTCATCCCCCGATACCGCACCTCTAAGAGAAGGTCAACCTGCGACTTGTCTGGATCGTTTGTTGGTTATTTTTCGACTGCGGTCTTGACAGTGAGGAGTAAGAGGGTGAGAGAATGGCGTGTGGCGTTACCCTACACCCCACGGCCCACATTCGAACCCTAGCCAAGTTTAGCGAACCTTCCGCTCATTTAATGTTAGTATATTTTTGCGCCATAGTTGTGAAATGATAACAATCCCTCGTAAATCTCTTCGTACTTGCCAATATTGTGTAAGCATGTATGCAGCTAAACACCTACACGGTGTTCAGCGAACATCACTGATGTGGCGCATATCAGTGCAATCGTAGTAGTTGCACTGATTTCGAAAAACCTTCCAATGGATTTGTGTAATATCATAATTTATCACTACATATTACAACTTGAAGCAACCAAGTGAAACTGTACACAACCGAAATTACAAGTGGGTATACTCGCTGAAATGACAATATAATGTAGTGTAATTCTCATGGCAACAACTGATCTCTGTTGATTGATCGAAATCAACAAGATTGTAGCAACTATTCTCCAAAAGCTTAAAGGTTCTCGTTGTGAAACGAGTAGCCGATATTCTGGAACTGTACGACATTCTCCGAATTTTCAATGTCGACGACGTTCAATCGATTCCTCACTTCATCTTGCAGGCTGTACAGTACCTGAAGAACTCGAATAGGACATAATGCCATTCCTAGATGGACAGTTCCTTGAGCCTTAAGCAAACCTTCTTCAACTCGCCGACTTCCCCCTTCAGTGCATCGTTCTCTTGCTGTAGCTCCTCGGCTTCTTTCTGCATCTGACTTTCGCGAGCTTTCCTTCGCAAACGTGACGTTCGGGCGGCTTCGTTGTTCCGATCACGTTTTTCGCGTTTTCTGAAATAGATTAAAATCAGGAGATGAGCCATGCTCTTGGTCACGATTCTCTTTAAAGACACGATAACAAGGATCGGTTGTATATGAATTTTGTTGAGTGAACTCGAATTCGGACATGGGCAATTNNNNTAGTATTCGTGTTGGTTGTGCATCTGATTTTGCCTTTTGCCCTGCTTTGCCTTCTGTTCCCTCCTACTCAAGTTCGGAATATAACATAGGCAAAACTCTGGCACGTGTCTTAGATTTACAATTGAATACAATTGAATGGTATAAAATTTTTCGCTCAAGCATAGTCGTTGTACGGTCAATGTGCCTGCAAAGTTTTTACTTTGAGCAGATTTTTATTGAACTTTAGATATTCTAATACTAGTCTCCAATATGGTAAGTAATGGCTACTATATACTTATTACAAGAAGCATTAAAGGAATAATTCTCACATGAAAAGAATGTAGAGTTTGAAGTACAAAAATTCATCAACTAGGCAGCTAGGTAAACTTTTCATTACCTTGAGCCTGTTAGTTCAGTTTCGAACGGGCTCGACTACTTTTTCCATTCTTTTAGTAATTAGGTGGGCGTGAAAAGAAGATTGGTGGACCCTGAGTCACTTTCAGTGGCAAACATTTTCCCACCTCCGGGCTTCAATGAACACTTTTTTTCACTTTGAAGGACAGGAATTTTATAGAAATGCTACGTTTGTCTCAAAAAATCGGTGTAAAGGAAATGCTGAAAAGAAAAGTCAATAAATCCCAAAAAACCTTTGTAGTTAACCTCTTGTAAGCCTCATCTGAAGAGACATCAGACTCCGACTTGCTACATGACGATGCAGACGACTTGGCGTAGACGGAGTCTTGATAATAAAGTGGAACAGTGCATGGCTGAGCAGCAGTAACGGTTGGATCAGCTACGCTACCGTAATTACCCGGAAACGGGACACTGAAAAATCAGATAGATGAGAGTGTATACGGATACTTATTAAGAATAGCCAGCGGAAACTTACGAGTAGCTGTAGGGGTTGTAAGTGAACGGCTGAGGATCGAAAGTCGTTTGCGGAAAGACTGGCAGCATTGCAACGATCGCGTTACGTAAGGCTGATTGCGCTACGGTAACTGAGGCGAACGATGAGGGGCTGTTCTTGGCATAGATAAGAGATGTTAGAGGCGTGGAGGGTTAAGGGGATGGACAGCAGGAATGCAGGGGTCGTCTGCGTGTCCCACAAGGGCGCGATATTTCCCATTCTCTACTGTTTACGGGCTACCCTATGGACTGAGATTAGTCGGCTTGGGTCAACTTAATGGACGGCATAACGACACTTACCATCAGCAGGTTACGCAATCGATTCGTTTTTGTAACCTCCTCACAGGTGAGTGAAGCGAGGGAACGATCAGTTGGATAAGGTCGAGGAAGAAATCATGCTTACGGCAAAAATGCTAGCTATTGGGTTACAGTAGCGGCTCAAAGGAGGAGATACTGTAAACTACACGGCTACGGTAGCTGCTTGGAGGAGAAGATACTGTAATTCGATGACGACTTAAATTCTAACCTCTTTCTTTCTTCCCAGTACACTTTTAAGTATCCAAAGTGTTGCCACGTGAAAAGTAACATCACATCGTCCATTCCTTTTCATTGTTCATGTTTTTGGTGTAATCAATCCCATCTGACACCAACTAATGCACCCTGGAGGGTGAAAGATTTGTCGGATGAGATGTTTAAGAAAGTTACAAGAGTAATCATTGTTTTAAGTCAATGTCATTTCGGGAGTCCACACGATCGCTATTTGGTACTGTAGACACATTAATCCGTACTTGCCTGCACAATGATTCCCGTTAGTACTCCAAGAATACGAATAGGCGTGAGTGTTGCTCCTGACCATACACCACAACTCTTCAGTCTCCAGAGATCGGAATACCTGGTCGGCCTTAGTCAGGGTTTAAAGCTCTGGCTCCTAAAGGGGCACCGCAACGAAAGGGGTCACAAATTATTTCTGAAGTACTGGTTCAACCAGAAATTCGATCCCTGGCGAAGTGAGAAAACTTTTCAANAACTTTGTTAGGAGTGGTACGTTTCACGTTTGCGTTACTGATAACGGCTGAGCACTGGCCAGTTGCATTCGTAACAGTCAACAATCTTCTTAGGACAATACACAATGATCAGTAGATCAAAGATGATAATTTATGGCTCAATCAATCCTGTTTTTGGAATGGGCACCAGCTTCGACTTCCATTGAGAATTGTGGGGCGGTTTGTACATATGTGTGTGGATTATACACTGAGTTGCAGTGATAAGCCGGTTTTCAAAGCAGTGCTTTTATCCTTCAAAACGAGGTTGGTACCAATTTCATCCTGGAGAAAGACTTGGTTGGCCTGAGCAACTATCGATCCGGGATTCGATTTCCTGATTATGGGTGTGATAGCGCGCCACTTACCAATCAACCAGCTCCGCCTATGAAGAAGGAAATAGATCCGTTTTCTGGATTTTTTTTATTTTTGGTTTAATGAGAGTTTAACAATCTTTGGAAATAACACGGAAGAATGCCAAATTTTGTTAATTAACCAGTTCCGTTCCAAACAGCTATGCCATTGCAGCCTAATAAACCAGTAATCTCCATTTTTTACCGATATTCGATTTTAAGTGCTTGTTTAATGTTCGCCTATATTGATATCGATTTGGCTTGGATACCACTGCATGCGAAGGGGTGTGGAAGTGGGAATAGGTAGAAAAAAACTACGAGAGGAAAAATTGACGGAAACTGAAGTGGAGACGATGTAGCGCGTGAAAGGGAACAGTGAGGTGGGCTGTGGAACATCGCTGTCTTTGCTAAATTTTCTTGAACAGAGTATATGTCTTCACCTGGTGTTGTTATTTGCTTCATATTATTTAACCTAGAACCAGGTGAATTATCTCGAATGCATCACTCCGACGCTGTCTTCCAACTGCCTTTTTTTCCGGACAAGTCCATTTTTTGGAACATATTCAACCTCAAATAGGAAACANTAGCTGCTCTGCACTTCGGTATTTCCATGCGATGAAACCTGTAGCCCAAACAGAGTATAAGAATTTCTGACCTAAATCTGCAAAAAAAAAAATAGAGAATCTAGTTTTTTTGATCCCAATTATGACTGAGTTTCACCTTTTTTGCGGTGAAACAATTGCATTACCTATTTCAGAAAATTTTTGATGTGTTCGAAAGGCTCATCGCCGTGAATGTTTTAGGAAGTCCCCATGAATTCTTTTTAATGATGATTCTTAGTAAATTGTTTATGTTTGCGAGTGTGACCGACTGCTGATTTTGATCCCGTCGAATCAATTCATGAGACCCACAATGCATGCCTTCCCTGCTTGCTCTCTCGACTGATCCATTCGATTTCACACCGGAAATCGCGAACTCCAAACCGTACACTCGTTATAGATTGCAAATGTTCAGCCTCTTCATTTGTAACATCTGTCTTCTCCTCTTTTTTGGTGATATTTATCTTTTTTTCTTGCCCTAATTTCTTATTGACTTTTAATTGTCTAAATTATTCCGAAGAATATTCAGTCCACATTCCCTTGCTCTCTAAACCTAGTTATGGAGAACGAGAGTGTTGTTTTGTCAGAACTTCTGGAACCGAGAGTGCTTTTCACAACACACGCTTATCTCTTAGCCATTAATCGCCCTTGCGACTGATTTTCAATCGGTTTAACCGATTGAAGATTTCGATTGTTCGTGTGAAATATGTTCGTACTACCAGAGTATCATTTACAGTCAACGTGCCAGATGGCTGATGATTCCAAGAGTTTCCACAAAGGAACTCAATATCAGTAATCTCGAGTACTCGGAGACCATTGAAATAGTCGAAGAACCAATTCTACCTACACGAGAAGACGGGGATGAAAATCGATACGCATCTCATGGATTCCGTAAGTTTTCTCTTCTGCTCTTTTCTGAATCATAGGCAACAAGTAGTGTGTTTTACTTGTACACATACAAAACGACTTCGAACATAATAAGCTTCACTATGCAAACGCGTGGGAATGCGTTGAATGTTGATGAGATTCTGTGGGGGAATATTTGCACATGTACGTGTCATGGATACTAACGATAAGTACATCATTGATGATGACTGATGGTGAAGGATGTTTTCTAAAGCAGTAACAGCGGAGGACAGCTGGAGGAGGCGTCTAGACGGACCTTTTACCGAATCGCACCATCATATCGCCAGCTGACGGCACACGCTTATGTGCAGCAACGAAGTCGCCAAATGATTCCGGGCGATAATCTCCCTGATAGTATTCGTGATCTGAAACAGTAAATAAAAGAAAATAAGGGCTGGTAGGTAAAAAATAAATATGGAAATGAAGGACGCCCAAGAGAGGTAGGGAAAGAGAAGAGAGTTACTTGTAATTAGAGATCCCTTCAAAATTGACGGCATAGCCGTCTGGAATTGAACCTGGAAACTGTCATCGACGATTGTCCAATCTATCGGCGCCCGAGTTTTCCTCTTTCTCCATGAATCCTTATCCTCTCTTCCTGTATTTCACGGCTTTTTGTCAGTTGTTATACTTTTTCCATCACTGGACTGACTAGTGTATGAAGTCGCCGCGGGGCGTTGTTCAATTCTAGCCACAGCATCAGTCTATTACGCTACTCCTCGTGATACTCAAGTTCTTTCCCGTCATTCAAAGATACGAACACAAGTGCTTCATAGGTCATGCAAGATGGAATGGTTCCCCATGAAGTTTTCGAATCGGTTACGGGGATAATCTGAACTTTTCACGTCCCTTATAATCAGATAGTAGCTCCGAAGCTGTTTTTGAAGAGGCTTGGTGTATATTTTGATGGTCTTTTCTTGAATGATAACAGTTTGAGCGAAATGAGCATTCCCTGGAGCATTTGAGAGTGACTTAGATGTCATCCGGCATGTGAAATGGATCTGAAAGCGTTTTTTGAGTGTCTGTCTAGAGTGCGTACGGAACTGGCAGTCCCTTGTCCCACTGGACCTTTTTGAACTCAAATGACAGCTTTTTCGGTAAGCTTCAACCGCATATGCATCCCTAGTACTCCGAATGTCTTTGTTTTTTTTCGAGTTCAGGGAATGGAAGCTCCTCGCTGAGCAAGTATAACTGAGAAGTTATTTATACTTGTTCTAGTTTGGCTACTAGTTGAGCAGCATTTCCAGCTTCTAGGTTTTGAAGAGGCTTCCTAGAAGTCCAGAAAATCTTCGAAGGTAGACGAGTAAGAGAGAAAAGGTTGGGTGCTTATTTCCCATGAAGAGTTGACTACAGGATTAGTGAAAGTGGTGGAATAGGTCGGTCCACTCGTAAGTATCCAGCTGAGGGTTTTCCGACAAAATTCACTCTAATAGAGTGCAAATTAAGCGGAAAATCACATAGAAACACTTCATTTATGCATAAATTGCACGAACTGATGACCAGGTCACTAAGTGGATGATGAATTCGGGTAACGTCCATAAATCATCTGGTAATCGGTAAATGTAATGGCACTTTCCCCGTATGAGCGTGGGCTTCGGGGACATTGTGCACATGCAGTAAATCACTTTTACATTTTGAATTATATCTTAATAGCGACAAACCAAGACCTCCTCCAATGGATTATTACGACCCCTCGCCTTCTATCGGTTTGTTTTGTCCCGGTTCTATCGAGCTTACGGAAAACGACTTGCGAAGGTCATGAAGAAATAAATGAGCCGGCAAACAGCGTTTTTAAGCAAATTATCCAATATCTCCAAAAGTGATAATGGTCGATATATGGTGGTAATATATTGTATAATAGCGATTTTACGATCCATTTTCATGTCATTTACCATTTTACTTTCATTCACGATTCAACCATGACCAGCTTCCTTTTTTCCTTAACAATGAACCCTTACTGAAGTACAGAGTCTTTTTTTTCATCTTTGCATTTTTGTTAAGTTCTTCATTGATTGATAAAACTGGTATGTCTCTAGAATATAACTCAAAGGTCGTGCAAAACATAACATTCCCCTTCTTCCTGAAACTAGTGGAACGTTCTGTAGAGTAGACGCTTGAGGAAGAAAATGATTTAAACCAGTTCATGATGATTTCGAGCGATCAAGTTAAAGGGAAGTAATGCAAGTTTTGGTGCCAAATAGTGTAGCGGTGGCGAAACGGCGCAAGTGCACGGTGAATGTGACGCTCAGGAAAATTAGCGAAAACAAGGGGTTGTACAAGATTGTGAGACCAAGTGGTATGGAAAGCGTACTTGGACCAGATTAAGTCGTGTACACCTGCGTAAAGAGCTGCCTACAGTAAGCAAAAAATGCCTGAAGTTGTCATCTTCTACGTCATAGCTCGGGACTGCATGCAAACAAAATTCTGTGCTGCTCCACCTGAGAACCAAAAGTTTACTTCAAGGAGGAAACTCTGTGACTCTGAGTGATTTTTCCCAATAAAGGCGCATGCTTCACATAACATGGCTGAAAATTTCCTCACCACTGTCACGAAAATTCACTTTGATGGTTTTCAATTTCATTTCCAAAACAAGGCTGTCTTTAACTATTGTGCTTATTTTATTGATTTTTTTTTGTGGTCGTAAGGTTACCATTTTTAATCAGGGAAACTCTTCAATCAAGGTTATGCCAATTTTGAAAGCATTTTGTTGAACGATGTTCACTTTTTTGACTAACTGTCATCAATGAGAATTGTATGAAATTTCTCGCACTAAGCGTTGGCGAGAAAAGTTCACCGCACTACTCCATTTGGAGACCATAATTGATCTTTCACCGTATCTCCATACGTCTCGGGGATTCAGTATTTTCAATCTCATGGACAAGTTCGCATGGTCCATGTTCGGATCCCAGATCGATACTCGCCCAGGTCATCCATGTTATCCCTCAGGATTGGTAATTAGAACTAGACTCGTCTGTAAGGATAAAAGCACCGACCTATAGCTGCGGTGGCAACTGCAATTCATTGTATAGGCCACATACGAATTCAAACGTCACTACGATATGTGGCCATCTCGAAAACGGGATAGCTTCACGTCAGAGACCGTCAGAACTTTTCTGCTGACGGTTTTTTTTCGTCGGACTTTCCTTTAGCAGTTGAAGGAAAGCTTGGGTTTTTTTGAGTTTAGTGTTTTCATCTCCAGACCGAGGAAGTAAATGAAGCTGCTTCGATCTTCTGAGCTTCTGATCGTGTTAATATCTCCTTATTGAGATGGAATTGTTTTATTTCCTTAAGCTCCAAGGAAGTCGTTTTTGGACGAGTAGCATACCCTGCAAACTATTCTGCGTATCGAGCGTACTCAAGTGCTGAATCTAGTCCAATGTTTCCCAGAAACTCCATAGAACATCATGACTCTGACAATAATAACGAGCTCCGGCAATTCCACCAACGCTGTCTCCCGCTTAATTCTATGAACGACTCGTCAATAGTGAGATATCATTGACAATTATGTCATGGTGCGTCATGCACTCTACAGATACCACGTCATAATTGTCAGCAGTGTCCCTTTTCTGACGGGTTGCTCATTGAAATCGCCATGGGACAGCGCTAGTGGAACTTTTGTTTGGAGTTTTTGTTAAATGTTGGAATTGGCTCGATAGGATGGGACACTGATCCAGTTTGGTTACAAAGTCAGTCCACTGGGTTTTTTCAGTTCCAACCTCGAGGTTAACTGCTTATCCAATTATCAAAAAGATCAAACGTCGGAGTCTTGTTGAAACAGGTATTTTACAGCTTACCATCGTCGGTAGTCCCAGTCAAATGGATATCTCATAAGTTTTTCCTAGAGAGACAGACGTATAGAATCTTTTTTATGAGAAATATACGCTCGAATACGCTTTTTTGTTGGCACTCTCATATGCTTTAGGGAGGAAAGAGGGATGAGCAGCACTTGAACGGTCATGTTAGGTAAAGTCTCATAGAAGGCGTCATGTAGTCGGCTACATACTTAAATGGCCTATATAATAAATCGAGTTAGTTGAGGGTCAAGTCACTGATTTCTCCGTCTTGAAGAAGTCTGTGGTTATCTGGGGGACAGGGATCCAGGAAATTTCTGGCTTAAGTTTCTGAAGTGCGATTCTCAGAGAGGGATCGAAAAAAGCGATCCAATCTACGGTTGATCGAACTTTCTTCTTCTGAGAACCTCACCCCTAAGCTTGTTCAAAGTTGGAGATTAAAGTGCAGGTAGTAGCAAGCAGAGCAAAGAGTTCGCTAGAAATTTATGAGCCCTTTTCTGCTTCAGTGGTCGGCTTTTCACTGCCTACATTTTATGCCTGTTTTACTACCAGATCAGTCCATCTTCCGGTGAACGTTAGTCATACAACTGTTTTTTGGGCCTGTAAAGAATAATTGAAGAGCCAATTATGCCCAGTGAAATATGGAGATCATCATCTATTCTTCAAAGTCAAGCGGAAGAGATTCTTCATGTCTTAGTGGAAATCGAAAACGTCAGCCGTAATGCTTATGGGTGGGATGAGTTATGGAGCTAGCTTACAATGGATTCGAAAGGTTCATGGGAGGTCATGAAATATTTCGGTGGACCCTTCTATTTATCTACTTTTTTGTCTAGTTAATAAATCACATTTCCTCCTTTGGAGACATCATTCAAATGGAAATATGATCGAAGTCTTCTGGATGACTTGGTCTGGTTGGAAGGCAGTTATCATCTGGCACCGCTCGCTCGGAGAGGGTACTCGGTGATCAGAGAGCTGATATTTCCAGATGTAATAATTCATTCAAGAAGCAACGTTATGGGCCTCGGGCTGTATCTTGCATGAAGAAGAGAGTCGCTCCATGCCCAAACTAGACCCTCAGAGCAATAAAACGTTACTATAGCCATCTCCTGATTTTCATGAAATGACCACTAGCTTAGTCGAAAAGTCTCAGAAAGTAATTTAAAAGTATATTGGGTTAGTTACTTTTTTGTTTATGTAAACATTCGTTTTGCTGCGAATCCTGATGATAAGGTGGTTGCGGTGCTTCTGAATTTACCTAATGATAGCCTATATTGAACGGTTAGGGTACAGCACAGGGTCAGAGTTACGGATCTGTCTTCATGCTAGTTTCAAAGAAGTGTTTCTTCGAACGCTGAACTTCATGACAACGATCTAAATTGAAAAGTGAAGAAGGCAATTAGTGAAATGGTCACTATGCTCTCGCAGGGCAAGAGATCAACTCAAGCGTGAGCCACTAGCACCTTCAGCGCATCCGAGATGAGCTAGACGGTGACAAGAGCCTTTGTTTAGGAAGTCTTTCCACAGACCACAAATTTTTGGAAGTTCCATCTTATTTGAATACGGGCTGCCTGGCGTCTCTCAAAAGGATTAACCCAAATGCTACCTTCTTCTCGAGAGCTCTCATTTGTTGTTCTATATATGCATTATAGTTGCTGTTTCTGAATCCAATCTGTCAGAAATTCAATCTTTTATCTCTTGTATGCTCTTCCATAAAAAACCTATGCCACGGACTCTTTGCAGAAGAAGCCGTATAAGCGGAAGGGGAGGAGTAATCATATTAAATATTCATGTCTTCCAAGAGAATAACTATTACACACGCTTCTTTTCACCATTTTCCGCGACACTGTGAATTACTGAATGGTAATCATGGGTTGAAAATTTTTGTTTGACGAGGAAGTAAATTCAAAAGCTAATTCGTTGAAGGCTTTGTCACTTGGATGATTTTCTAAGGGTTCAAATGGTTTTCCAGAATCGCTCGTCAGCAACCTGTCATGGGAAAGCTTTGTTTCGCATAGGTCAGAAAAGAAGAAGAGAAATTCATTGTGAAAGGCCAGCAGCCGCTATTAGTGGAACTAGAAAGCGAAACCACGGAGGAATCACTACCACCAGAGAATTTTCTGAGGTAAGTATCTTTTGAAGTGCAAAACTGCAGTTATCATGAGATGACGGAAGTTTATTTTTCCACAATTTCAAGCACATCTTGGCTCATAATCATTGTTTCGTAATTGAGAAATACTGGGCTCAGCTCATTCTGGTTGAGGTATGTGTAGCGGCCGACTCGTCCAAAGCAGTAGGAGGGAGCTAGTCAGACAGTAGAAACAAGCCTTATCTAAGACTTTCTTGCATTCAAAATTTTACGTAAGGCCCCCAGAATGTCCATCTTTTGGGTATTTCAGTGGAAGGTAATTCTTCTCAGCTTTCTGAGAATTTGTTATTTCAAAACGCAAGTGCTCGCCAATTGCTTTCGTTTCAATACGACCCCCATTCTGTCCCGTTCGATTCCATTGTTTTTCTTTGTTTTGCACCGGAAGTAGCCCTTTTCTGGAAAGTTCTGTCGATTCAAGCTGTCTAGACAAAAGCTCAAAAATTTCGTCAGGAAGTACTTTTCCTATTCGAAGTCGATAGTATTTATTAGAACCTCCAAATATATAGTGGAAAAAATGTAGCTGAATATGCAGCTTACAATATAATATGCATCAACGCAAATATACCTGTACCTATCACGCAAGCTGATGTAAGTTAGTCTCTGCCTGGTACCAGTACCAACTACTAAGCAAATATGCTTGTACGTGTATGGAATAGAAGGGACGAAATGTATTTCAACACAGGGCCGGGCAGATTATGGGAGCGATGTCACAGCAAAAAAGACAGTCTGAAGTTGAAGGACTGGGCAAATGTGCCCTGAAATAGCGATATGGGAGCAGAGCAAAGTTCAAAAAGCCATGAAGCCAACGTTCTTGCTGACATCATCGCTTTTCAGATCTTGACCACCCTATCCCGCTTGTTGGTAGTTTAGTAAGACCTTTACTTGTATGGGAACGGAAAAAAGGATCCATGGCAGTCTCGGAGAAGCTTCACTCTATCAGTCAAAAATAAAGCATTTACGGTGTTAATCAGAAATCCGCCAGTTGAGAATAGATGGCTTCAGTGCAAAAGAGGACATAAAACGTGGAGCAGATTTTTCGGCCTTCCCTCTACATGAGCTCAACTAGCTTTTCACTCAAATAAATGACAGCGTGAAGTGACTCGAAGCTAACTATTTTACAAAAAGTTCTTCGTTGATAGATAATGTTATTTCCCCGATCTGCAATCCATATTGCTCCACTGACATCAAATATATTCCCATTAATCTATCTTGTCAGGGCGCTGTCAGGAGAAAAACACAGTAGTCGACAGAGTGGGAAGACTTCACCATAGTCGACTACTATTTTGATTAGCAATCATTCAGTGTATTGATTATTTTAGGGCAGACTGAAAGGGTTTGCAACCATGTGTAGATTATGGTAGGTTCTATATATACTGTATCACGGCGATGTAAGCTCTAAAATCACATGGTGAACGCCTGGTTGCCAAAAGTGGGGATGGATACAGCTAGCAGTCCATCTCTTGTAAGAAGAATGGTATAGGAAACATTCTCGAGATAGTTCTCTCCCAGTACGGTTTCTGCTTCGGCCAGTTTGCTCGTAATAAGGTCTTTAATCGGTAATCGGTTCCATCGGCTGATTGAACTTGATCCAGACCATTCAAATACGCAGTGTTACCATTGCACCACCAGACTGTTCTTCACAAGTCCCGGTCCCACGGGTGCGCTTCATTGCGCGCGCCCGTCGAAACTAGGTCACGCCGCAGCCGTCGCACGCGACGAGACGGCCTGCGATATTTGACAGACGTCGCAATTGTCACTGGGGCATACGCTTTGCGTTTGGTCCACGGCAGCCAGTTCAAGAAGAAGATAGCACAGACAAATGCAAATCATTTGCTCCAATGACACTTGGTGGTATTGTAATGTCATCTCGAGACCTCAGTGTGATGCGCCGCGCGCGAAGTGGGCGGGGTGACCTACTTTCGACGGACACGCGCAACGGACGTTCTCCCCGGTCCCACTTGTCCCCTCTCGGCTTTCTATGAAGAACGTACAGTAATTCTGAGCTTGTACTGTAGAGTGGATAGGAATGGTATGAGAAAAGCCTAGCTGCTTGTTCGTAATGTACTTCCCGTATCCTGTGAGAGCGAATAATGTGGTTGGGTAACTGTTGAATTGATTGGAATATGGCAAAAGATATGAAACCGATCCGTTGGGTTCCTAAATATGGGATAAAGGGGCTGGGTGGTCTGTAAGAGTTCGATGTCATGACCATGTATGTGTGGTAGTGCGCCAGTTGCCGTCGCACCACCTTCGTGTAAGCTATGTAGTGTAAGATTAGAAGTTAGATACGTCCAGGTCTAGTTGTCTGCCATCTTCAAATGAATTTCGTTCGAGTGGATCATTCAGTCTTCGTTGAGGGTAAATTGAGCAGTTTCCTATTCCTAACACCAAAAAGCGTAATGGGGAGTTACGTCCTTAGCTGATCGCATACTGCAGTTAAACGGACGCCTTTCGAAATACATGCTTTTGGTTACATGCCTTTCTTGTACAAAACATAACTATTGATCGCTCACCGTATGGCAGCAAATACTTTGCGTCAACTGCACAAATCAAAAATGCGACGAACAGCACGGCCAACACGATTGATCGTACGGAGATCATACCTGAAACTGCAAAGAGCTGAATGGAAGTTGGAGTAGCCCAAAAGCGAGTAGCTCATGAACAGTGAAGGGAGAATGAGAAGCGTCGTCAGGAGTACACATTACATAATGAAGCAAACGCTCTTTAATTAAAAATTCCAATTAGTTATGTCAGGAAAGGAGGGATTAGTGAAAAACTGATCTTGAGCGTTGGTGGCATACGGTAGGCAAGGTTCCAGGCATGCTCTGGTCTGCCCGATATGGGATTAGCAGATGATGACAAAGGCGTGGCAACTGGTAGCCCGCGAAGGGTTTTTTCGCGGGCGATGTTTTAGCTAATACAACTGTCCTCTTTGTCTGAATAGCTATCCATTCATGCCAATGAATTCATGGGTTGGGAATGGTGCAGCGGTGAGAGGCGTCGTTGATTATTTCTGGGATCGAACCCGCCTTGGTCGCCTTAGTTTCGAGCTCGATACTGTCGTTCAACTTATGAGGCTTGCATGGGAGACTGGATTTTCGACTCGAAAGTTGCCGTTGCTTTTGAGAGTCGTTACAACAGCAGGATACGCTTGCAGCAAGTGCTTTTACAAATTTTCAGTACGACTCCAATGGGTGCCTCAGTACAAAGGCCTGCCAAAATTTTATCATTCAGCTTTCAGTGGCTGCAAGAGATTGTAATTTCATGAAAGCATCGCATTTTATTATCCAGTCCTCGAAGACTCTGAGAAATTAAAATTCTACAAAAACCCTTAGCTCTGGACAATCTAGGAGGTTCGTCATTCATTGGAATTGTCCCTCAGCCAGTCAGAACACAAATCTTATTGTCCGCTGTTATTACCGAGGCGTGGCATGGACTTTCCCCGATCCTTGCGTGCAGAACCTCTCTGGAACGCGAAATAAAGCAGGTGCTTCAGCAGGGTTCTCTATCATTTTCATTCAGTTCTTCTGCCGGAGAGAAAAAATCAATACTTATCTAGAACACTACTTTGGTTGGGAAGGAATACGTGTGACCCAGCTACAAGAGGTCTTGAAAATCGTTTTCTTAATGTATGGGCTGGTGGTGCTATCTGAGGTACAGTCCCTGCATCACCATTTATGGGTCATTTTTGTTTTCCTCCAATAAGGTTCCTCCAATCTATTGAACAGATCTACTTGGCACATTCTAGCCTAATTTTTGGGTCTAAATTATCCTATCTCCTCTTACTGTTTTATAACAAAACTCTCTAATATCCACGTGATCCCAGAGTTTGCTAGTTACCACTCTGCCTTTGAAATCAGGTGCTCGTCCTGATAATGTGGTTGGTAACAGATATGGCTCTAGGTACTTTTGATAAAATCTGTTCTTGAAATAAACAAAATAAGCGGTTGAGAATAAGCGATTTACTCAGGAATATGGGCTTTAGGCGAAAGATTATTCGATACGAAAAAGCCTAAAAGTGTATTAAATTCTTTGGCACTGTTTATTTCCCCCTCGACTTTCATGTGGACGCAGAACAGTGCTGAAGGGCGCTGATACCTTACGAATGCTTGACGCATAAATCCCTGAGTCAGAACCCGTCCAGACCGGTGGTATTTTTTTTGTAATAATGATCACTAAACAATATCCCTCACTCAGCTAATTGATATTTTCTTGAAAACCTTGGAGAATGAACTTCTTGTCTGATTCTGATAAGATTTAGCGCAGTTTAGGTGAACGGTAGATGTCAAACGCGTAGGAGGACGGGATTACCGAGTTGTAAATCGGCTGCTGTACGCAAATCACCATGTATACTGAGTTTAGCCAGAAAGCCACTATTAATCAAAGCTAATTGTAAGTAAGAGCGTGGGGTATTTCAGAACTGATTGCTCCGAAAACCTATTGATCGATTTTTATTGTACTCCTTACTCGGATCAGTTGTGGGACTTTACTGTGACGTCATATCTGGATTATGTGATACTTCACGATGGTGCAGTCTCTCCACCGACCGACCGACCGATGGCGTTGCTAGCCATGTGTTGACAACGCTGGACACACGATCATATGCCTTCACGAAACACGCGTCCCTGAACGCAACCTATCCTGCGTTGTCAACACGTGGCCAGGAACGCCATCGGTTGGTCTTTCGGTCGGTGGAAACAAAGCACGTCGATGGAGTCTGAAAGCACCATTGAAGCCAAGGTGAGAGAAATGGAGGAGCTCAGACACCCACTTGAAGCGCTTCGAGATGCCGCTGAAGAATTTTCTGGTTCTAGTGATGATCAAATCAGACAGTCACCCGATTCCGCCCTATCTGCCTTGTCTGGATCGAGTCAAAAAGAACTACATATTAGCAAACAAACAGTATGGATATGCGAGAACTTTGGCTTCTTAGGAACAAACGAAATCAATAAATATAGTTGAAAAGTGGCAGTTCGATCGGCTCTATTGGGTGAATGGTCACACAACCCGTGTGAACGGAAGTGAACGCTAAAGCAAAGGTATTGAGAAGAGGGCGGTTTGAGAAGAAATGGTCACCGAGAAGGGCGGAGCATAAGCATCTCGAGCTGTGGTTTTCGGATAATTGCTGTTAGAGAGGCGGACACTTTTAGCTTCTGAACGCCTCCCAGGGAACATAGATGACTCGGACAGGAAACGGCTTTCCATAGCCAATCAAGGGCACTGACCACACTAGAAAACAGAACGCCTTCTGGGCATTATCTGGTTTCGAAAAGTGTTGTTTACTCTCCATCGTCCAGGCAGTAGCGCCTTTGAACATGAAAACAAACCGGGAGTCGAACAAGGCTGTTCATTTGTTCGGCTTCGCTGGAAGGGTCTTTTCCTATCAATCTTTCTTTATCAAGGAAGGAGTAAGACTTGAGTGCGAACTATTCAAAGTACTTCGAACCAGATTCAATGTCATACGATGTGCTTGCTTTTTTTCGGCTAAGTCGACTCAAAGTGACCCAAAGGTCGAACCGAAATCAAGGGTTGAGGCTTTTTTCTCGTGGAAAGAGTAGAGCTGTCAAAGAAGTTCTCGATTATTGGAAGCAGAGGAAAAAATGTATCAGTCCTTTTGAAGGAACAACTTGCACCCTTCTCTTAGGATCGGGTAGCAGTTGGTTGAAAAACCTTAAAATTACCACCAAAACTGGAAAATGAGAGCCTGGGTGATCTGATAGACCTTGCCTACTTCACATATCACGCATCTATCTGATATTGAATGCTGGATATGGAGCTTTGAGTCCGCCCCACCTCATTACTCGCTTAGGTAGTTTGTTATACGGGTTGGAGTACTGTCCTGGTTGGTTGTACTACGTTTGAGATCTCTGAGGCCTAAGATTTTTCATTGTAGTTCCCCAAGAACTTCTAAATGTATGTACATCGAATAGACTGAACAATTTCAAGGGTGTCTGTGAAATCCCGTCGCCCCACGCACTATCAGATCGTCTGCCAGCCACCAATATCAATGGCCAGCTACTTTCCCTACTTGCCACAAAGGGAATCATTAGACCAGCGATCGAGAATATCTAATTGAATTCGCTCATTTTTATGCTTCCCATCATCTCGTCATTGTTATGACGCCGTGGCGAATGTGACAACAAGCAGATTAAAATGGCTTCGGGATTCACAGAAAGGAGTAAAACTCTGGCAGCCGATTGGTGCCTCAGAACGGATGGTGACAGGATAATTAGGAAGCGTGTGAATGCTTTTCCAAACGGTTTTGTTTGTGAAACGAAGCCAAACAGCTTTATTGTGATTGTGGCTTGAACAACATCCCCTCCACTTGGCCATGTTCGGATAGCCGTCTGAGTTGTAGTTTGTTCAATATTCTGGAAGCAAGCAGACCTTTGCATAATAGATATGTTTTCAAACAAAGATAGACCACTGTGTGCTGTAGCTCGAGAGCTTGCCGACTGGCAGCGGAGATTTAAAAAAAAAGAACTTAGGTGGACTGAAGAGGGCTTAGAACTTGCGGCGTTGGAGTTTCTTTGGCACGATAAGGAACTGCGCTGGGTTCTTCAGAGGTTCAACATTTTCTTCAATCCACCTCACAATAGGTATTTCTATTTCTAGCCCTTTTCATCAAGCCATTAAAAAGTCTCGAAATCGGAGGTTTTCTCGAAGTGTATATCTTATAAGGCGGAGGTGTCGCAAAAGCCAGATGTAGCAGCCAGAAGTAAATACTCAACATCACATCTCACACGAATCGCTGACCGGATTTCATCAATAGTGAATGGCGAAGATTTGAAAAGTTGAAGGCAACGATTGAAAAGCATCCTTTTGTCAAAATGGAACGTCCTTTCAACCCTTTTTACTCTGAGCTTGGAATGTAAGCCGAATGCATGGCACATTCTCAAAATCACATGCATCTCATTTTACAATTGTTCATTGAATAAACATCAATGAACGTTCTGAAAGCGGGGAGCGCCCTCACCCTTGAGGTACCGTAAGGAGTAGAAACTTTGTCACTTTGAGGATTCCTGATCACAGTTGATGGCTCTCACGCCGTGACCCGAGTATGTTGAGAACCCCGACAAAGTTGTCTCCTGTCAGAGCCTAGATTGGTATCGCTAGAATTTGGAACTTTTCGAAGTCTCGCTATAAGAATGTTGGGCCTGAGAAATGCGCTGCCTCGGACGTAACCTATATCTTCACTACTGACACAGGGACCTGTCAGAAACTAAGTATTCTGTTTCCATTTCGACATCCTAGGATTCATTATCGGGCGAAAAGTATTTAAAATCCAGCTCTATGAAAAATTGAAAAATATGAGTACTCATTGTGTGGGTGGAAACTTCGTGCAAATTCAGCGGTAATCTTGAATGTTTGGTAGTTGCGTGCATTCAAGTTCAGGAGAAGCGCTGAAGTTGCTGTAGGTATGTTATTCTCCATCTCGATAATAGTCTGCTCTTTTCGCTATTAACGCCCGCAGTCGAATACATTGCCCCATTGTCAGAAGCGGCAAACTACTTTTGAGCTGCTAGCCCATTATATCGTTAATCTGTTCTTAGAAGTATGACTGGGACTAAGAGTAGGCTGTGAATAAAAACAATTTGTTG